TCTAGAGCTATGTTATAAGATATCACAGAAAGAAAATCAGATATCACTTGATACACTATCAAGCAGACATCCTTAAATAGGATCTAAAAATGAACCTAATTATATCAATGTCCAGGCTACTGTACACTCCATGGTGGTTTAGATCACAGTTTCTGAAATCTAGCTTTGTGCCTTGAACAAGTCATTAAATTCTCTAAACTTTGGTTTCTTCATAAATAATCTTCACATGGTTTGGTGAGAGTTGAATGAGTTAAACTATATAAAGTGCTAGAGTAACAGAGGTTGGCACATTTTGAGTTCTACCTAAGCACGTACTATTACTGTTATTTGTGTTGAAGGTTTAGAATGGGATTTGGGTCCTGAATTCTGACTGATCATATCTCTTAGACTCTGACAAATAGGTTATTCCCACTGAAATCCATACCAGTGGATTCAAAATACCTGATTTGTTACTGATGAAGCTGGATTAGAAAGTGGGCTTGAACTCATGACCAAAGTGCAGTTTTCCACCAATTTGAACATATAAATCTAGTCAGTGTTATGACAACTGGGAAAGTCAAGGTATAAACACATAAAGAAGAATCTTTTTCACATGATAGTAATATATACATTTTGGCACCCTCTGTATATAGGTTATTTTATATTTTGACATATTCAATACTTATAGTTAATAGCTCTTATTTCTACTTGTCTGACTGAATACGTGTCATGCCAGTGAGCTTTGACAGGAGAGAGGCGCTAAAAAGAAGTGAGAGGGAACTATGCTAGACTCAAAGTTACCATCTTAGTGAATACACATACACACACACACACACACATATACACATATATTTATATAAACTGAAGTGGTCTGAACATTTGGATTCTCATCACTTTTTTGTTTTGTCTAGCATTCCTTATTCCATTGCTTTCTTTACTTTCCTATAATAATAGACAAAAAAGGTAACTCTTTCTCATAGGAAAATGAGAAGTAGATCTTTGTAATGGAGAAATTTCAATTCCCTTTGAAATTAAGGTATGAATTTCTTTTTAGGGGCACCCTATTTTGTTGAAAAAATTAGTAAGATCACTGAGATAGGTAAATACTTTTTCTGCGAAGGTCTTGAAGTGGGTCAAAATTACTCTTTCTGAGACAAGGAGTGGGAACCCAGGCTGCGGGACAGGTGACAGCCACCAAGACAGAGTTATGGACAGTGAATGATGTTTGTCTCTGGTAAATTTTTTTAAACTACTTTTCATAGAAAATCATTTCAGAAGTTGACTTTAAAATCAAAATGGGTACAAGAGAAAAGAGGAACATTATCAATAAATGCAGGAGCTAGAGATAAAAGATGGGCAAGATGAAGTAAGCCCTTAAGACCTTTAGAAACCCCAAGTGGGAATTTTATAGGACATAGAGTTACATTATCTAGTTAAACTTATTTATTTCTAAGGAAGAAAAAGGTTCAGTGTCTAGTAATGGCTTAGTAATATCCTACTAAATCATGTGATTTTTGCAATTAATATCTCTAAACTCTAGCAACATACAAAAACTAACTATGTGAAGACTTTAAATGGAGAACAGAAGTAGGAAGAGGCAGGACACGGGTCAATACTAGGGAATAAAAGCCACTGAGCTACATCACCGTTTATTTTTAAAAGCTTTATACTGGGTGCAGCTTCTTGCCAGCCCATACAGGGTTGCTAAAACTCAAAGAGAAACCTGCAATCTATGTGACACAACAAAGCAAAGGACAAGTTCCGGGTGAACTCAGCATCTAAAAAGTGAAGGGGAATATCCAGGAAAAGAAGAAACCATAGAGTGGGCATCCCACATTTTCTGTACATAAACTCTGTGCAAGTCTCTAGCTAATCCTTTGAACTATGGATGTGCTGAGTAGATCACAAGCAGCTCAGTTAAGGCTAAAATAACTAAACTGAGAGTTCAGAATTTGAAGTTTGAGTTCAATTATAAAATATCAATAGTCTGTAGTGAAATATAACAGAATCCACTGTCTCCATCACATATTATTCATAATCTAGAACATAATTTAAAACTTACTCAACACATGGAGAAATAGAACATGGTTACCTATATTTAAATGAAAAGGCAATCAATGAAGACTAGCTCCAGAAAGACCCAGATTTGGCACTACCACACATGAATTTCAAGCATTCATTAAAACTATGCTCAAAATTATATAGGAAAATAAGACAATGGCAAATGGCACATATGTTTGAAAATATACAATCTATTATTCATATAAAATAATGCTACTTATTAAGCTGGTGATGAACACAAAATAGCTTGATTATTTATGTTCATTCAAAAGAAGCACTGAACTCAAGTTTGGTCTGTAAAGCAATCATTTATAATAAACAACAATTTAGGAAGTACCTTGCTAGGTGCTGTGAAGACAATTACAAAATCAGGTATACTTTTCAACTCACAGAACTTGAAACTCAACAATTATAAATATATGGTTTTAAAAAAAGCAATGCATTTTATAAAAACGGTACTTAAAAGAGTAATCTGAAACCTTAGTGGTAGAAAGTTTTACTTATAGATTAGGGAGGAGAAGATATAAAAGAGAAAACTTTGAGAAATAGTAACAGTTGAGATGAATCTTGAAAGGTGTTTAGAATATTTATATGCAGGCATGAGGGAACTAAGCTGAGCATTCAAGTGTACACAGTGAAGAAAGTTCTGAATATAATGAAATGAAGGGGCAGTCATTGGCTGTGGGATATGGTTTGTGACGTTGGTGGTAAGAGACAGTGTAAAAAGAGTAGGTGGTTTCAGATTGCAGCATGCTAAACGAAACAGTTTAGACATCTTTCTGAAGACACCAGGGTGCCAATTAAAAGACAAGATACAAAAATTCAACATTATTTCCTTTAAAAATCACAAATGTAGAAAGAATTTCCATTATTTATTGTTTGTGCTTCTTATAATTACCTAGTACAAAAAAGCCAATGAAATGGCTCTTATAATTTTAGTGGAGACCACTATAGCCTGTTAAAATTAAATTACCACATGATAGATTTGAGCAAGAAAAAAATTAAGAAACATGCTATGAAATTTCTTCATATTTTGATTACATAAGAGTTTATGGTTCGACAAAATATTTCACTGCTGTATTAGAAAGAGTCGTCCCCCAGTGTCACGTTTTGGAAGGAAGGTAGAGGAAGAAAATTGCATTTTATCTTTACAAATTAAAATACCTGTATACATTACAAATTATGTATTTCTATGTTTGCAGAAATAAGAAAATACATTTTTTTCCTAGGGCCTTCTCTGTGGTCCTTTCTAGTCAGAAAATTCAGTTCTGTTTTCAATTTGTTATTAGGCAGTTATAAAATTTCATTCAAATTTTAAAATATAGTGATAATAAAGGCAAGACATGGCAGAAAATATCTTTAATCCCAGTGCTACATAAGAAAATAAATCCTTTGTGAATAATGCATTTTTATAATATTTTAGCTGCTTGTAGCCTGGAGACATTAACTGAGAATAATTTGAGATTTTGGAATACCAAAACATAGTACTCCCAGAATATTTCAGAATAGGAATGACAGTGGCATTTTACATCTCTGTATTCATAATACTTATTTTATCCTTCATATTACTTATTCCTTACATCTAATGACATCAAAGAAAGGAACACAGACATGTGGCCATGGACAATTTTTGTTGCATGTCTGTGAATTATTATGTGATATTTGTTTGACTTTATAAAGCTAAAGCAACATCCATTTTCATTCTACATTTGTTTTGTGGCATGAAATGGTGTCTCATTAACCCTCCCAGGATAATCTAGATTAATATGCACATAAATATTTGTTATGTTGTATAATTCATAAAGTACATCTTGTTTAAAATATTTCCTCCAATGGTCTTATGTAATGTTCTATGAAAACAAGTTTCACTCCAGATGTGAATCACTCTAAGAGAAAGTTGTCCTTGTAAAATATTCCAGTGCTTTCAAAAAAAGAGAGTAAAGGGAGAAATATTGTGATTTTCCTTCCAAAAGGGAAAATTAACCCAATGAATCTGCTATTATCATTTCATTTCCTTTTATTTGCTGGCTTTATGATATTGATATATTTTAAAGTTCACTATTTAATCAAGAGAAGAAAGGGTACTGAACTTTAATATATTTCCATGCACTGGTGGCCAAATTGTGATAATAAAATGCCAGATGACCAAACAATGTACTGACTTGTGTTTTGTTTGCTTTTGGTTTCCTGATAGGCACTTCATGTTCTATAACTGAAATTTTAGCAAATATTCTTGGCATGTTTCTCTAGTATTTCGATAAAATCAGTTTTACTAAGATTCCCTGACAGACAAGTCCAAACTTTTCCTCTCCTTTGTTGAATTAGCTCTTTAGATTCTTTTTAACTTAAAGATTCTTTCCACTATAAACCATACAACAAAAAGGACGGATAAATTATGTCTATCTCAAATTCATGATCAACGTAAAAATAATCACATAGGTATCCTTGAACTCTTTCTTATTCATTGTAACTATTTACTTTAAATTTACTTAGAAGCAAAACTTTTAAAAATATTTAATAATGTATGTTGAAACTTCTTCTATTCAGTTCTCACACAACGTTTTAGGATCATATGAACAACATAGAGAATGTTGCCAAAACTTTTTTTTCTTCAATCTGACCAATGATAAAGTGCAGACAACTGGCTGCTTTATACATCTTTTATTCCTTTTGCACTGGTTGAGAAGGTCTTATGACACTTAGGATTTTGGGCTTACATGCCCAAACATCAGACAGTGCTAGTCCAAGTTCTTTAAATTCTTATATGACGAAATCAATACATTATTCTCATCCCATCCTTTTCACATACTCTGGGTACAACTAGCTCTAAATCAGGGATAGATCTTTGACTTTCTCTGATTCATGTCTGAGTTAAAGCAAATTCTGACGGGCTTACAGTTACATTTGTAAAACAATCTTTTCACAAGTACCTCGCTTTTTCTTTGAGTGAAACTATGAGTTCATCTTCTAAAGGACATAAGGGATTCCAAGTGGTGCCTCAGTTTACTCATCAACATCTCCCTGAAGTGATCTCCCATAAGGAAGTAGAAAACAGGGTTGATGACGCTGTTCAGAAAGGCCAAAGGCCGAGTCACAACATACAAGATGTTGATGACGAACTCGGTGCACTGGTATTGCTTCCAGTTTACCAGGCGTGAAACGATCCTCACGTTGCGCATGATGTGATAGGGCGTAAAAAGCACAGAGAAGATCACCACGGCCATGATGACTAAGGTGAGAGGCTTTTCAAGGGGCAGAGCAGTAGTGAGCTGCCTGCTTCTCTGCTTTAGAAAGACAGCAATCTTGTAATAAAAGAAGCACATCACAAAAAGGGGAATGAGGAATGCGAACAAAGTTAGATACATGCTGTAGATGAGGCTGTATTTGGCTTCCCCAGAGCTTGCGTAATCATTACAGGTGGTTTCATTACTATTTGTAGTAGGACGTATAAGAGGAAGTATGGGCAGTAGCTCCAAGATTACTAAAACCCAAATGGCCAACGAGATTAAAATAGCACACTCTTTCTTTTGCAGACGGTGATCCCGGAAAGGGTGCTTCATGAGCAAGTATCGATCTATGCTGATGAAAGTGAGGAAAAGAATGCTGGTGTAGAGGTTGGCGTGAAGCACGTATCGGTTGCTTATGCAGAGCACGAATCCATACATCCACTTTCTATTGGCGTAACTTCTCATCAGCATGGGGAGGGTGCACAAAAAAGCGAGGTCAGAGATGGAGAGGTTAAAGAGATAGACGTTACTGCTGTTCCAATTCTTCAGACAGAAGAGGTAGCCAAAAACCACAACGAGATTCCCAAGGATTCCCACAATGAACTCAATTCCATAAAAAATGGAAAGGTAGTACTTTTCTAGGGCATCCCTTGTGTCCTCCCAGTTTTTGCAAGTTGCGTCCTGGTCCTAAAGAAGAGACAGAAAATATAAAGATGAAGCACTAGACTATGACAGAGGACAAAACTGTGCAGAACATTATAATAAAACATAACATTTGAAGGTGAATGATGGAGAAGAGGTTACATTAGTAAAAAATGCACACATTTATACACATATGCATTATACATATGTCACTAATATATTATTTCAACAATATTTATTACCTTTCAACTATGTGCTGAATATAGTTTCAGGTGCTGGGGATAACATCAGTGAGTAAAACAAAGTTCCTAATCTCTAACAATTTATATTCTCTTGAAAAGAATCAGGAAATAATAAATCATGCCATATAATGATAAATACTATAAATAAAAGCTTATGAAAGGGTTAAAATGTTAGAGGGTTTTGGAATAGAGAGTGGCAGTGAGCTAGTTTTTTAATATGGCGATAAGGTGGTTGCTTTTCTATGAGATGTCATTTGAACAGAAACCTCAGTGAAGAGAGCAAAAGAGCCATATCTACATCCATACAAAGGGTGTTCCAGATATACAGAAGATGTAAGGCCTAAGGTAGAAACATACACAGAGGGCTTGACAAACAGCAAAGTAGCCAAGGGAAACTGTGACCAAGTAAGTGAAGAGAACATTCAAATTCACCTTTGTGTCTCCATACCTACCATGTTCCCTAACATAGCATCATTATTCAACAAATCCTGCTGAGTTAGATTGAATTGAACCATAATCTAGAAGAGGAAATAGGGTTTGTTTGTTTTTTATTTTTAGATCTCCAACTTCACGATTTTATTCCCAGGCAGTCCCCCTCCAAGTATTAACCAGGCCTGACCTGCTTAGCTTCTGAGATCAGATAAGATCGACTGTGTTCAGGGTGGTATGGCCGTAGACCAACTTCACTATTTTAATAGCATTTTCTTGTTTCCATATTGTCAAAGACATTTGCTTAATTTATTAAATTTGTAAAACACAATTTTAGTTTTTAAAACTTTATAATTTTTATCAATTTAAAATATGAAACTGAAAATCTTAGTAATAATAACTGTGGTCACTATTTATTGAAAGGTTATAGTGTAGCAACACTGAGTTTACCACTTTCCAAGGATTATCTCATTTAATACTCATAGTGACATAATGAGGTGGGGACTGTTATTATGTTCACTTGACACATGATGTCCTCTGAAGCTTGGAAAATTAAATATCTTGCTGGCTTAGTCCTTTCCTGCTGTTTTTATAACAAAATGCCTTAGACTTGGTAACTTATACATAATAAAAATGTATTGCTCACAGTTCTGCAGGCTGGGAAGTCTATCAAGTTGCCTGTAGATTTGGCATCTGGTGAAGGGTCATCTCCTGCTTTAAAGATGGTACCTCTTACTGCATCCTCACAGCAATGACACAAGGGGCAAGGTAGCTCCCCTCAACCTTTTTTGTAAGGGCACAAATTTCATTACTTCCCAAAAGGCTTCAACTCTTAATAGTATTAGAATTCAATACATAAAGTTTGAGGGGATATCAGTATTCAGGCTATAGCACTTACTTAGGTCATATACCTAGTAAAAGCCATCATCATAATACCTTTTGAATAAGCACCATGAAAATAAATAACCTGATTCATTCAAACCCCAAAAGTCTTACTAATTTGCCCTTTCTCTCTTGTAATGAGGCCAGATTGTGGTTGGATAGAGTATTTCAAAAGCTAGAATTATCTGAAAAATGGACTGACTCACCATTGCCAAATACTAAATCTTACTTATTTCTCCTATCCAAGTACTAACCAAGCCCAATACTGCTTAGCATCTGTGATCAGAGGAGACTTGGCGTGCTCAGGGTGGTATGGCCTTAGACTAAATCTTACTTATTTCTAGTGAGGGAAAAATCAAGGTTGAAATTAAATTTTTCTTAAAATGTCTTTGCCGCATATGGGTTTCCAAGTGTTGGTTACAATCAAATGATTCTTTCAGTATAGTGTTTTGGTAAATAGAGCAAAATAAGAATGAATGCACCTGAACCTATTTTTCCAGGAAACATTCAAAATTTGGTAGAATTTATGTGTTGAAGGCATCTGGAAAATGCATATGTATTTTGCCAAAATCAAGTGGGTTACTATTGTTGATAATCACTGGTATTTTGAGAGTGTTTTATTTATGAAAATAAGTCATGGAATTATAGATACGATAAGTTCAATGTTTTTATAAGTTATTTCTAATCACTTGCTTTAAAACATTATAGATTTGCTGGGCTCGGAGGCTCAGTCTGTAATCCCAGGTCGAGGCAAGTGGATTACCTGAGCTTGCGGGTTTCAGACCTGCCCAGGCAACTTGGCAAGACCTCGTCTCTACAATAAATCAAAAATTAGCCGGTTGTGGTAGTGCACGCCTGTAGTTCCAGCTACTTGGAAGGTTGAGGTGGAAGGATTGTCAGAGCCAGCAGGGCGAGGCTGTGGTGACCGGGAGCGTGCCACTGCATTCCAGTCTGGGTGACTGAGTGAGACTCCAACTCAAAAAAAAAAAATGTAAATTTTTCTGAGCCTCTCAAGTCTTTCCATGGCAACCCACCACTAAGTCCAACTCTGGACAAAACTGGGTGGAAACTTCCTGAAACAGTAGTCACATGAATGCTATGAAGGATGCAGCAAATTAATCTTACTCTATCTTTGAGGTTACCTGATTCTACTGCTCTCTCACAGTGCCAACAATTTATTGCATCTCTCTATTTCATATTTTTTCCAATCTCTTAAACCTTTTCCACTTACTCTGCTTTATTTATCATTCACAAGTGGTTTTGCCTCCTAATTCACTGAGATGGAGACCATTTGTTGGACTTCCTCCAGATCCAACTCATTTCCAAATCCGCAATATTGCTATGCTACCATTTTCTCCTCTTTTCTGTTTTCAGCCTTTTCCTCCTCATCTTCAACCTTTATCTCAACTATATCTTTTCCGTCAACTTTAAACACTCTAATCTTCTCAGTCTTAAAAATAAGCAGCAAACATAAATATCTCTTCCTGGTTTCACATTTTCCTCTCCTCTTCATAACTTGATTTCTGAAAAGAGTCATCTCACTAAGTGTTTTGACATCTTGACAGCCCATTCTTTTTTCATCCTACTCCAGTTTGGCTTTTGAGCCAGCACTCCACCAAAATAGCTTCCACATTGCTCAATTCAGTAATCATTTTTCACTAGCTCTTCTATTTGACTTCTCAGTTGCTTTTCATACTTTGACTTCTGGTAACACTCTTCCTTTGCCTTCTGTGCCATGACAACATTCTAGTTTTTTTCTTTTTCCCTGGTTGTTATTTTCAGGCTCTTTTGGGGGCCTAAGCCATCTTAGATCAAGCAGTAAATGTTGAGTTCTTCAAGGCCCACTTCTGGGCACCATCTTTATCTGGACTCTGCCTAGATCTTCTCATTACTTTTCCAACTTTAATGATCACCTACACACCAACAGCTCCCAGATTTCCAGCCCAGTCTGGATCTGCCATATAAACTCTAGTTGTTAATACTCACTGCCATTGATTGAGGTCTCACAGGCACCTCTACCTCCAGAAATCCTATTCTAAATCCTCCTTACCAAACTCGCAGCACATTCACCGATCTCAGCAAATGGCTCTGCCAGCTACCTAGTTACTCACCACAGAAATCTGAGAATCCTCAAAGTTATCTCAACTTAACTCCAATAATGAATAAACTACCAAGTCTTGTTGTTTGGGTGGTTCTCAAAAGCATCACTACTGTTCCATAACTGTCATTACTATTTTAGTTCAGAACACTCTCATCTCTGTTCTCATTTATCTATGTCATATCTCCTATGTCACATTGTCCTATGTCATATCTCCTCTTGTTCCTCTGGCCCTCATTAATCCATCTTTGCCATTACAGCCAAACAGTCTAAAGAAACCTATAACTCAAAATATGATCCTATTGTTCTCCTTAGTCAAAACCCTTAAATGACATTCCTCAGTCCAAGGAACAAAGTCTAAAAACCTTAACGGAGACAGCAAGGCCTGCAGGACTTCACTTCAACCTCACCTGGCATTACTCACCTCCTTGCACATCTCTCTTTCTTCCTGTTCTTTGGATGATCAAAGAACCTTCCTAAGTGCAGTCCCCTCTGTCTGAATCTCTTTTCACCGGTGTTTTTCTCCTGTGATACATAGCCCATCATGTTTTTTGTCATATATCTACACTTCTTTCTGGCCTCTGTTCAAGTGTAGGTTTCTGAAGATAGGCTCTCTAACCTACCAGGCTAAACTAAGTCTTCCCATTTATGCTCGCACTGTACACTGAACAACTTTGTCTTACTCATTGTTTATCTTCCACATCTGGCACAGTGACTAGCAGGTAGTAGGTGGTCTGTAAATGCTTGTCAAGTGAAGAGAAGATATGAACAATTGACTGTTTACAAAGTATTTTTATAAATATTTTTTCCAAGACCAGATAAGTAGTAGATCCACCAAATTAACCCAATAACTCTATATCACTGTAAAAGCTGACATTATATATAATAGGACAGGTACTCAAAGTTGGCAATTGCAGTCGTGGTAGCAGTGGTTTAGAAACACTTTTGTATAAGGTAAAATTTAATATGTCTTCATTAATTTTTCAATTAAGGCATTTAATTAAGAATTACTCTTGAAATTAAGCATAGGATGTCTAGAAAGACATGTACCAAAGTGTTAGTAGTTTTATCTTTAGTGATGAGATTTCAGAGAATTTTTATTGTGCCCTTTCTTTTTGTTTTACCTGAATTTCCTATCTTTTTTCTCCCCAAATCTGCATGCAAATGATAATATTAAAACAAATTAAATTTCTAAAAATATAGCATAAAAGTCAATGGACTGTTGAAAAAATATAAACTTTATTTTTTAGATCAGTGGTCAATTTTCACTATTATTCTTAACTATAAGAAGCTTTCAAATTCAAGCTTTCCAGAAGCACTCTCTTCCTGTCTTCTATGACACTGCAATGTCTTTGTTTCTCCCCTTTCTTTATTTGCAGACTTTTTTTGTGTGGCCTAATGCTTCTTTGCCCAAGTTTTCAATTTTGGAATTTCTCAGATCTCAGTTCTGAGCTCCTTTGTTATTTTGGGGTACTAAAAAAGCTGGTGCACAAATGTAAATGAAAATTAAGATATAGAGAGTTTCCTTGAGAAAATAAACTTGTTTCATTTTTGTATTTCCTTTCTTTTTCTGGTCATAGGCACTTATCTATGTGCCTAGTAAGCCCTGACTTCTGTCAGTAGCTTATATGCAGCAGAACGGTTTGACTGCCACGTAAGGAAAATATAGTCAAGAAGACTTATGCAACTAGAAATCAGATCTCCTATGACTACAGCCCAGGCAAGTGAGGGGACATGTGAGTCATGCAGAATTTTGCTTTTCAATAGTCCAGTGTGTTGGAGATTGGGAGTAGTGAGTACAGAGAACACCAGGACTGGGATAAGAAAAATGAATGACTAAATAATCACTTTTGTCCTGATTTTCCTAGAGTGGTTGCTTCATTTAAAAAAAAAAAAAAAAACTTCTAAAGCAGGATGTACATAATTCATGTTACTTGTGTAACACTCAGAAAATCAAGTAGGTGAAAATAAGAAATAAAAATTGACTGTAAACTAATCACTTCTAATTTGCGGGTACCATTCTTTATAGTTTAATATTTATTTAAATTTATATTTATACAAATGAGATTATGATTTTTATGATGCTTTGGAATCTGCTTCTTTGATACATTTGTTTCATTCTTAGAAAATTGTTTCTAAGTTCACAGTATTAATAAATTATGGTTCCATAAAGATGGGCTGTCTGGTATTTGCTGGCAGACTTAACTTCACCAGGACTCCAATTTTCAGAATATTATATTCCAAACTGGATAATAATTGTGATTAAGTGTGTTTTTAGTGTGGCATCGCAATTCTAGAAATGGATGAAGTAAGCTGCTCCTTTAAGCAACACTCCCAACTGAAGAGAAAATTCCCTCATGAAAAATTAATATTCTCTCTTCTGCTTTCTAGTGGTTGTATTCTTAATTTTTAGGAAATAGAAGTAGTGATAGATTATAACTGATTTGGGTAAATTATTTTTAATAATTTAAAAATAGGTTAAGTGTGTTTTTTTAAATTGGCAATTAAAGTGAAATCTTTAGTGCCTAGTCCAAAATATATCTAAAACTGTTAGAATTATTAAACTGGAAGCAATATCTAATTTACTCATATAAGCAGGTCAGTACCACTCATTTTTAATTTGAAGTGTTTTTTTCACTTTTGATATATTCAGCTTTTTAAAAATATACATTTTTAAACTTAAAGTTTAAAAGATATATATGATAGTTTCTTAGCCTTTTGTTTTTTCTTAAAATGTCATTTGTGAAGTTTTTATTTTAACTGTTGTGTTATTGCAAATTTACATAGCAATTTGAGGATTTATTTTAACAAATTGCTTTTTTCCTTATGAAACAATTTGCGTAAAATATATATTCACACTGAAAAGATACAATAATTTAATATTGATTATTTTATCTTTAAACATTCCATAAGTTGCGCCAGAAAATAAGGTATTAAAAAGTAATAGTGTAGCATCAAATTATATATTTATAATCTATTTAAGAACGCTTCATAAATTATAAAAAGTTCTGGAAGGCAGAATAGCAGTAATTTCTGCAATCTTCCTTTTTTCTGAAGTGAATTATATTCTTGAATAATGTCATTTTGAAACGCATAAATGTTAAATTTAATTTTAAGGATGTCTGAAAATTTCCTCTGATATATTGTTTTCTAAACATAAATATATTATATATGGTAGATTGTTTCAAGTAATTTAAAAACCATTTTTGTAAGTAGTTATATTTATTTAAGTACATCCATTGCTATTTATATTGAAACATGAGTTACTGAGACTTTAGCAAACATAATAAACCCCTATAAATAAAATAAATTTAGTATTTGGCAATTAAAATAAGACATTTAATTTGGTGAAAAATAAATGTAGTGGTAAAAATAATGACTTCCTTTCAGTTTCTTGGGCTGTTTTACATCTATTTGTAAATAATTCATTTAAACATTACTTAAAACCTTAACTGCTCACAGCCACCTTTAAAAGAAACCTCAAAAGGAAATCTGGCACGATTGTATACACCTGAGAGACACAAGTTGCAGCATAGCTTACCATTCTTTGGAAGGCTGGTCCCTTGACAGAAACGTTGCCAGCAGTTAGAAACAGCTTCTGACCCAGTGCTGTGCTGCCGGACATGGTTAGTGCAGTCTGATTTGCATATCATGCAGCCAAGATTAATAATTCAAAAGTCCAGGAGTAATTTATTCAGTCAAGCCTCCAAGACAGAGATGTTCACGCAGGGGAATTTCTGTAAGGTGGAGACACAAAACAAATGATTCATTTCACAGAAAGCACATTTAACCAGTAGATTTTTAAAAGACTACTATTGAAATTATCTTATCCACTACCAAAGCAACAGAAAAAACGTTTCTCATTTTCATATTCATTTGCATAATTAGACAGTAAGAAATGCTAAGCACTGTTTATGTTGGGCATACAGTTGCCTCTGCTTTTTCTTCATTTTTCAAATTCACAGTTTTTTGTGAATTCTATATTGCATATGCAATAACTACACCATTGTTTTTAATACTGCTATACCACTGTGTTTGAGGGAACTATAAATTTGAAAGTTTAGAGGGAAATCTGGATATATGTTCTGTGGGTGTACTAGCAAAAAAATCCACTTGAGCTTCAGGGTTTTTTTTTTTTTCATTTTATTTTCTGTGATTAAAATCAAGAAACACATTAAAATATATCAGGAGGCTAGGGATTAGGGAGAGAGGCGCTGTCTAAGTAAAATAGCCTCAATTCATGGCAATTTATATATCCCAGTCAATGCTCTGAAAAGCATCTGGAAGCACATTACCACCATTTCAGACAGGAAGCACACCTGGCTTTTTTCTGAGGATTATATTAGATTTATATTCAAGTAAACACTCAGTCTGTTTGATGTGAAGCTGAGAAAGTCCCTAATTGTGTAGGCAGTCGTAATCCAATTTGAGTGCTATGTAAATTGAATGCTGAGTTAGCAATGATAGGCAGAAGCCTAGAACAAAGCTCTGTTACCGCCATCCACCTAGCCAGGTTTTTTCCTTTCTTCTGTATCTGAGAGCCTAAAACTCAGAAACTACTATATATATATATCTACACACACTCATACACAGATATACACATATGCACATGTATAACTATATATTATATAGTTAAATGTGTATACATGTATAAACTATAATATGTATAAATTATATGTATATTTATATGAAATAATGTCTGTAATTTGTTGTTATGATGATATGTCATGCAAGTGTTGAACTAAGTACCTTTGTACATCGAATGCATATAATCCTCTGAGGTTGTTATTATTTTAAATTTTTTCTCATTTTACAGATTCAAAAACTGAAGCTGAGAGAAATTAATTTTCTCAAGGTCATAGAATCAGTAAGGAGAGATACTAGAGTTTAAGCCCAGATAACTTTGATTCTAAAAGTACCAACTGATTCTTGATTGCCCACAAGATTGAATGACAACATCCTTATACACAATAAAGTTTAAGAATTAATAACAGGTATTTTTTGAGAAATGAACTCTTGTCTACTTTTAGAAGGAAGAAAACTATTATATTTGTCTATAATTTTAAAAGGGCAAAAAGCATTTGAATAATCAACACCAGGCTTGTTAATTTAGACATAGATTAACATGAACCTCCTCCAAACAACAGACATAGGGATGTATTTCACAGGTTTCTACCATGTTTCTGATGAGAGATAAGGGTGATTCCCATCCCATGAGGTGGTGGGAGTTCCACAGAGCTTCCTCTTTCTTCTCCCCACTTCCTGACTACCATTTCACTCTGGACTGCTAAGCAAAAAGTGGCCTGTACTTCTCCTTTTTCAAAGTAAAACTGATGTAGATTGTAAACTGGAAGCCTTGCTTCCTTCCCCAAGTCCTGCTTCACCAAGGACCCAGTGCCTCAGAATGTTCTGCTGAGAAACTAGAGTGATTCTGGGAAACACTTAATAAAAGGTCTCCATTACTTCTGTTAGAAAAATTTTTCGCAGGTCTACAGAAGGATAGTTGCCCAGAGGCAAGACCAGATTCAGGGTTATGGGCCCTGTGAGTTGGATGGGTGTCATGAGTGTGCTACCCTGAGTATGTGATCTTTTTGAGTCTTTGCTCAAAAAGATCACATACTTGACTCAATGCTCTACTATAACATTTTTAACTTAAATTCTTTTTTTTTTGAGATGGAGTCTCAGCCTGTTGCCCAGGTTGGAGTGCAGTGGCACGCTCACGGCCACCCAAGCCTCGACCTGCTGGACTCAGGTGATCCTTCCGCCTCAGCCTTCCAAGTAGCTGTAACCACAGGCGAGTGCTGCCACACCCAGCTTATTTTTTTATTTATCGTAGAGACAAGGTCTCACCAAGTTGCCCAGACTGGTCTCGAACCCCAGGGCTCAGTCAATCCTCTCGCCTTGGCCCCCACATTTCTGGGATTACAGTCTGAGCCATCACGCCCTTAATTCTTTAACTAAGAATTTAAATTAAATTCTTAATTTTTCACAAGGGGCCCCATATTTTCCTCTTGAATAGGCTTTGCAGATTATGTAGCCAGTTCTACCTGTAATAATACAGATCTTCTAGGAAATTATTTCTGTTCAGCACATCAAATTTCCAGGGAACAGGTTTTTTTAAAATTTTTTATATATATATTTTAAGAAGCATGTCATGTTATGGAATTTGAAAACAGTAAAAATTTGCAGTATAATTTGCTAAGAGGCAGTATAACAGGGTGTTTAAGAGCACAGGTCAAGGAGGTGAATTGCTTCCTTTCAAATCTTGACTTTGTCACTTACTAGTTTTCAGTTTTCTTTCTGGAAAAGGGGCATAATAAAAGTACCAATCTCAAGAGATGTCATGTATATAGTAGATGTACATAGTACATACCTATGTTATATAATAAGAGGTACATATTAATTGCTAAATAATTGGTGACTATTTATAGAAGTTTATAATAAATGGAAGACTTTTTTCAGAATTATGCTAATCGAATATCATTGATGTTAGAATACTTGCTGCCCAGAAATATTCACTTTAAAGGACCTTATAAAAGCTAGCACGGTGAAAAAATCAGTGAGTTCTTATCATGGCTTTACCTTTTACTGACTGTGTGATCTCTGAAAAAAAATCACATAACCTGATTTCTCTGTTTGGAAAAAGGGAATAATAATTTCTACTACATAAAACTCATAATGTTCATAGTATCAAATGATTTAATGTTTGAAAAGGCAATGAACTTGGAATGCAAGGGTAGTTCATGTAAATTAAGAACACTAATCTGGAAATTCAAGAGGAAAAAGAAAATGGTGGGAAAGATAATCAAAATACTAATTAAATTCAATGTTAATCATAACTTCCATTAACATTTTTTGAGCATTCACTCTATAATAACACTTCATGTGCATTAATTCCTTTAATTTTCACAAGAATTGAATGCAGCAAATACAATTAATATCTCTAATTTTCATATGAGGAAACCAAGGTCAAGCAAAGACTAAATAAATTACCCACAATTACACAGCAGAGTTATAATTTGAAGCCTTGTCTGTTTGACTCCTGAACCCCAAATTTTTTACCATTATTCTGCCTCTCTCTTGGTAAAGAAGAAGATACTAGGTTGAAACATAAAGTTACTGATATTGGGAAATTTTTATCTTAAATATGGCAATTTTATGTGGTTTAGTAAAATAAATTTAAAATTAATACTATATTTGATTATTGGTTATAAGATTTAGTGATTATCAAATTTAATTATATAAATCTTCCACCTAAAAACAACAGAGTATTTTAGATAAGAAGCCAGACTCATTAAAATGAAATAAAGTGTTTATGGAAGGTTCTACTTGCAATATCTCTGGACATGTTTACAAGACATTTCTTTCAACAGCACAAGAAGTTTATGTGGAAAACAAACTGGTCTAAGGGTCACACTAGTCTTCAAGAAATCACAAGCAGGAAAAGAGGAGGACATTGAATCTAACTCAAGGACTTTCTGTAAGTCCTTAAGGATAAATAATAATAACAACCCAAAAAGTTTGAAACAAATCAAAATTACTGAGGAGGAAATTTTGGTGGCTGTAACCAAGACTACATGGTTATTTCTCTATTCAAAGAATGGTTTATGTAGGAAAAATAATAAGGAGAACAGCAAAAAGGAAAACACAGTAGAGGGTGTTTGTGGGATATCTCTAAATTCTTCGTTTCTAGAAATCGACAAGTTGACTTTACCAAGGAAAATGGTCTATTCAAAATGGGCAATCAAGCTAAGGCAAATCAATTGGTTTACTCTTTACATAAAAATCCTTGTCATTTGAGAGCTACATTAGTAATGAACATTTTGACATTGTTGATTTTTTTATCACACAATTGAAAAGAATGTGTCATACCTGTCAATACTGGATGTAACTCAAAATTATTTTCTGCTAAATTAAACACATTGTTTGTTACAAGTATCCAGCCATAGCCAAAAGATTCTAAGTTCTTTGAAATGCTAACATTAACCTAGAAAAATAGCAAGTTCACCTTTTAGCTTTCAGTTTATACTCAAATTCCAACAGCTAAATTATTTTTTAATGATATGTAGTAAACGTTAATCACAGTTGTTTCTCTGTAAAAGGAATGTCTTGTTTCCCTGATAGAAATCATAATATAGGAAATTCAATAATTTGTGTAAAATGTGGATATACATTTTATTGTTAAGTTACTAATCAAGGCATATCCCTTTTGAATTAAAAAAGTTTGTCTAAAATATTTAAATAATTTATTCATTTGCTAATAGGTCATTCAACTATTTGGTCTTTTCCAGTCACATTTACTGAATTTTATACAAGTTTTCTTGATTCTTGGAGTATTTTACATTATTTATGAAAACAAAGAAGTAACTACTTTATTGTTTTGATATACTTTTTAATTGACTAATAATCAACCACTCTTCATTTTACTTGTTCAAATATGTTATTTGCCCTTGGAATAAAAAACAAGTCGATCTGATTGAATCTCACTGAGCGTTCTAGTAATTGAATTGAGGGGTTTTCAAAATTCCCTAGAGTACAGGATATATGCTCATTAAGAGAGCCAAGTGCTTTGTGACTCTATTATGAATTAAATAAGGAAAATTACCTATCCCTATTAATAACACA